GGTGGTTGTCTTGAAACCACTGCTTGAATACTTTTGCAGTGTGTTTGGGATCGCTGTCTTGCTGAAAAACCCATTTTATTGGCATATTCCATTCAGCATGAGGTAACATAACATCTTTCAGGATATTTTTATGCATGAAACGGTCCATTATTCCATCGATTCGATGTATTGGACCTAGACCGTTAGCAGAAAAACACCCCCAAACCATTATATTGCCTCCACCATGCTTCACGGTCTTATGGCAGTAACGTAAATCGAGGCGATTTCCGGCCGGTCGACAAACACGGCAAATGCCATCGCTCCCAATGATGTTGAACTTCGATTCATCACTGAACAGGACAGTTCGCCATTTCTGCACATTCCAGTCAATATGAGATGTAGCAAACAGGAGTCTTTTATTCTGGTTTTTTAGTGAAATAAGCGGTTTCTTTGCAGGGCGTCGAGAAAACAATCTCGCTCCAACAGCACGTCGTCTGATTGTTTGGTCCGATACAGGCAGCTCTAATTGCTTTTGTATCTCGACTGATGATATCCAGGGATCCTTCTTGAGGGATCTGACGATCATAGAATTCTCTCTAGAAGTGGTGGAATGCGGTCTTCCACCTTTGTTATCTGCTGCCAACTTCTCTGTAGAACGATATTTGGAACATAGTCTTGATACGGTCAATTTTTTTCACGCGATATTTATCACAAATACTTTTTGTGACATTCCACTTACGTAATCGCCAATAATTTTCTTTCTTAGTTCCAATCCAAGACTGTCGGCAATGCAATTTTTGCACTTGAAGTCATAAAAGCAATAAAAATAAATAATCACGCTTCTAAAGGCTTACCGTGTTACATTTACCTTGTGATGATACAATAATGCTCTGTGAAACACAACGTCTTGGTTGGATGTGGGTTGTATTGATGTAATGAAACACTTGTTGCATTTCACTTTTTGTATTGATGTTCTTCGAAAAAACACTTTGATAAAACTCACTTCGATAAACTGTCTTGATAATACTGATTGATTGACTTCCATATACTGACTGAATTTCATGTCTCTTATATAGTAAAATGAACCTGTGTGAACCTGTTCTGGAAGATTCTAGATGCTTCCTTTCGATGCTTCTGAAAGTTTCGGATACTTTGGAATGTTTCTGGAAGCTTCTGGATGCTTCTGGATGCTTCCAAATGCTTCTTCTGGAAACTTCTGGAAGCTTCTGCATGTTTCTGGAAACTTTTGAAAATTTCTAGAAACTTCTGGATACTTTCTTTAATTATTAAAAAGCTTCCGTGACGTTGACACGAACCAGACTTAAGAAAATGAAACAAACCAAAAAAGTTGCACTTGTTTAATCCGCTGCAAAATGGCACTTGTCAATGAAATTCTGCCTGTGTGCTGTCACCTGTCTGCTGATTGCTCATGGCATGGCATGCTATGACTCCAGACTCCTGAACTGTTGGTTGCAAATGTTTTGTCCAAAAATGTAGGTTTTATTAATAAAGTGCCGAATTTGTTATTATGTTTAAAATACAAAAGTATTGGTAATTACATAACTCGGTACTCGGTTTATTATAAAACAAAAAGTATTGTTGCATTTAAATAAATTATTCGTTACTAGAATTTAATTCATCGTTTTGAATTATGGATAAAAAAATGAGTTAGATACGTAAAATAATTTTCTCGATAACTTCTTTCCTGGAAAATGTTGCCACCAAAGTATTTTGAGTTGTTTTTATTCCAAATCTTACTATAAGCGATATAATGTTTGCAAACTAAAAAACTACGCTTCTCTTAAGTTTATCTTAGATAAATTATCGTTAAGTTGCAAGAGGGAAATAAACAACATACGTTGCTACAGCCTATTATTAAGAAAATTTCCCCCTTTATTTCTAGCGTAAGAGATGACCTTTCCGATTCCCAAGCCCTCTCCAAAAAAGAATCCCCCTCCCTCAAACGCGCACAAACGCATCCTCATTTTACCACAAATTTACGTCCCTCTGTGTGCATAAATGAACTTCAGACATAATTAATGACAAAATGCTTTTAACGTGGTTTCCGTTTGCCGTTTTCCGCTAAGCTAATTTGGTATTGTCAAAAAATGCTTCTCTTTATGCTATTTTGGTATCGTAAAAAAATTTGTTTTAAGCCTGATATTATTTAAAAAATGTAAGGTAAACTTTGACTAAGTTATTTTTCAATTTATGTATGCAGTATTTAGCTTGCATGTGTTAGGGCCGACGACACGGGTTTCGAAGTGGGGGGGGGGGTATGGGTGTCACAATCATCAATTTGTAAAAAAATTCCTCCATATCTAGATTTTTCTTAAAAAAAAAAGGACTTTTGGAAAAAAAGTGGGGAAGGGGCACGTGTCCCTTGCCTCCCCGGTGTTGTCGGCTCTGGTACAGTATCAAGCTTTCATATGAAATTGTAACTGCTTGATTGTAAGAGCTTTATAAACTAAAATGTTTAGAACTAACTCAGTACTTTATTCAAAACTGACAATCCTCAAGACATACTACAATAAAAGGATTAAAAACTATGTTAATTTTAGTAAAAAAAGCAACTTGATAATGATGATAATTATATTAATAGTAATAAAATTAATAATACTAATAATAATAATAAAAATAATAATAATAATAATAATAATAATATTAATTATAATAATAATATCAATAATTATAAAATTCTTTTCAAATAAACGGTTAAAATTTTATTAGTATAACAAGCATCGAAATATTCAATAAAATAATTTGATTTTTAAGTTCGATTATAAAAAGGGGAAAACTATTGTTGATGATCGAAAAAGTTTGTGTTTTTTTATGTTTCAATAAAAATCTTTTCATATTAATATAAAGCCCACATATATAAAATGATACTGAATTATATGATAATGTTAGGCAACTGTTTTAATATTTCTTTCTTATCATTACTTTTGTTTACAAATCTCAAAATTTTTTTGATAATCTATTATGTTAAACTATTTGTCTAAATAATGTTTTTTTGATTGACACAGTTTATCTTATGGGAAGACTTGCGTCAATCTTCGTCAAAAGATTAAGTCATGCGGATTACTTTTTGATACGCAATCAATATTGATAGGAAAGTGCCTTAACTGGATTCTATTTTCTCAAGGACATGTTTGTTATCAAGAATATATATATATATATATACATATATATATATATATATATATATATATATATATATATATATATATATATATATATATATATATATATATATATATATATATATATATATATATATATATATATATATATATAAATATATATATACATACATAAATATATATATTTATATATATACATATATATATATATATATATATATATATATATATATATATATATATATATATATATATATATATATATATATTCATTTATTCAAATAAAAAATGTTTTAAATTTTTAAAAGTCTTAGAGCACTTTATTGTTTTTTTTTTATGAAGGATACATACAAAAACACACACAAACGAACCATACATATGTATATATATGTGTATATATATATATATATATATATATATATATATATATATATATAAACATATATATATATATATATATATATATATATATATATATATATATATATATATATATATATATATATATATATATATATATATATATATATATATATATATATATATATATATATATATATATATATATATATATATATATATATATATATATATATATATATATATATATATATATATATATATATATATATATATATATATATATATGTATATTTTAGTTTAGATATAGTTTTCATTGTTGCTCTTTTGAACATTCTTAAACAAAACTTAGGATTAGGACTAAACAATTCGAAAGTTCATTGGATTCGAAATAAAATATCCAAAAGTTAAAAAGGTATTGTGCTTTATAGTTTGTAACCGAAGTTTAGAAAAAAATGTGGCAGTAAGACTTATGTTTTTAAGAATTATTGTTTAGGGGATACAATTGGATCATGTGGTGGAGCTGATAAATTATTTATATAAAAAAATATAGTGTGTCTTGGACAAAAAAAGACGGAGAATAATTTTTTTTTTAATCTAGATACATAAGTTAGTTATAAAAAATGTTAAGAATAAGTGAAAACTTTAAATCTTTTTGTTTATATTTAGAGTTTACGTTTTTTATAAAAAGTAGTTAATATTACTTATAATAGAACAGCCTAATTAGTAGAACAAAAAATTATTAAAATATAATTGGAAATATTTAAAGCTTAAAATTATTTTAGAGATTTGCTCGATTCATCTCAAGTTCGTTACTTATCGTTACTCTCAAGTAGTTCGTTACTTATCGAAAAAAAAAACCATCAATTTAAAAAATAAATTTTGTGATTGGTGACTCCAATCTAGGAGTAATTAACTTTAATTTGTCAATTAGCATTTTATAAGCGCAAAACTCCGAAAAATAGTTTGTCGCCAAAAACTACAATTTGATACAATTTTAGACATAAAATGGATATGTAATGTCAATTTTTTACTTTTTTTGTTTGTTTATTTTTTTTAATATTAAGCCGTTTTTTTTAAGTTAATTCTGAATTGCAGGTAATATTAATTAAAGGTCTTTAAAATCAAACACTAAGAGTTTACATAATATATTGCGTATGCATTGTTTAAATTCTTATTGATAAATTAATGTGTGATTGATTTTTTTTTTATTTCCTATCGTTTTCTGTATGCAATAACTTTGTTTTCTAAAAATACCAATTATTTTAAATGTTGCTTTTTTAACCAGATAAGAAGAGCAAAAAAAAAAAAAAAAAATCCAAAATATTTGGACGTTTTCAAACAGTTTCTGGATTGCTAAGCATCATTTTCTTCTACTTAGTGAAGTATATTTGATTTTGTCATTATTTACAACAATCTTTATTTAAATCGCGTGGTCAAGATTTGTACACATCAACTATTTAAACTCAGCGGCGTGCCTCGTTTACATAAAAACAGATAAAGAAGAATAACAAGTGAAGACAAACAGCTTTTATATAACTCATGGTCAATTCATTTTATTTCTCATAAACTTGTTTTATTATTAGATAAAAAGCCGAGTTACCGAGTACTATTAGATTGCCATTACAAGAGAAAAAAAGTTAAATTTATATAAATTGCAGTGCCACTGAAATGAAAGTAACGTTATTAAGCATTATAAGATTGATTGTTTATGTTTTTGTGAATTTTGTGAATGGGATTCCAACTAAAGAGCGAAATATCATACAAAATACTTTGCTTGATCTATTTGGAAAACATAACCGTCCAAGACCCGACGTTTTCTCTCATTTAGGTAGAAATGAAACGTCAGCTAAGAAATACATGCTAGATTTGTATGAGTATTCCGTAAACACAGAACGTCAAGGTATGAATAACTTCACAACCAATTCACAAAATATATCAAATATTGTTGACGATGCGGATACAGTTGTCAGCTTTTTAAACAATGGTAAGTTATTGTATTTTCTCAAGATAAAAAGACATCAAATTGTTTTTTTGCTACTTTTCTTTAAACAGTTCATCGCTTAACTTAACTATCATTCAAAAAATAATCGCAATTTTTTTATTCGTTAAAAATAATAGTGCAGCTAAGGAGGAGTGGTTATTGGTTTAAGGCCTCAGAGGGTATTAAAAAACGTTATTTTTGTCTTGTATTTACACAATTTTTTGTATTGTTATAATAAATGTATCGTTGTTTCTTTAAAGTATCATTACGTTGCATTGTTTGCAATAGTATGATACATTTAGGTTGCGATTGCACTTCATAATATTCAGAACTCTAAAACAATGTAAATAAAGTAAATATGTTATATACTTAATGAAGAAGAGAAATAACTAATAATTTTAAAACTATATGTAAATATTTTACAATTAGTTTAAACCAATCTCAAGATATCTTTACGAAGTGATATTTTATTAAAGACAAAAATTCAATGAATAATATATGAAATATATTTAGATTAAGTTAAATTAATAAGTAACAGTCTTAGAATAATTATTGATTAAAATTTTTTAAGAAAGCGTTTTTTTTTCCATTACTAATCGTAAATCAAATAATAACGTTAAACAGAATTACAAATAAAAAAACAGAACTCGCAGCTTAGAGAATAAACTCGCACCTTAAATAATAAACTAGTTATTTGGGGAATTAACTGGCAGCTTAAAGACTAAACTTAGGGCAACTTAGGAAACAAATGCACGCTTAAGGTTACAAGCGCGCAATCCACAGAGTAATCGCTTAACTCTGAGTTTAAGTGTGCTACATGAAAATAAGGATCTAAATAGATTAACGCATTTTGCTAACTCTCATAGGATAATTATTCGCGTTAAAAATAATTTTATCTAATTAATCGAAATTCTTTTAAAGTATTATTTATTCACATTTCGAAATGCATAAACTAGACCTTAAAACAGATTTCTGCAAGATAAAAATATTTTTTCTATAACAGTGTTTAACTGATTGGGAACGAGAGGGGAATTAAACATTAATCGGGATAGTTTTTGATAATTTTTGTTCATATTTACAAATAATCCAGTGATTTTTTTTATACAAGAATTGAAATTTTTCTGTGCTTTACTTTTATTTAAGTATGATGTTTTATAAAAATTCAGCAAACGCAGCAACAACTGTTTAGCGCCAGGCGCCCATTATGATAACAGCACTCAGTTACAAATAAATAAAACTATTTAACTAGTTTATGAAGCATTAAATAATAACTTTCAGATAAATAAAAATCATTTCTAAAACATGTCTCATTGATATCAATAAACATGTCTCATTGATATCAATAAACATGTCTCATTGATATCAATAAACATGTCTCATTGATATCAATAAACATTATGAGCTTTAAAATTGAATTATTTAATGTATTTTATAAAAGATAAGAGGTTATCCATAAAGTACATACGCAGTAAAACCATTGATATGAGACCCCTTTCCCCTTTTACGCACTTGTATGCTTTCAAGGGTTCTCTTCCCCTCTTCTGCGTACGTACGCATTACTTATTACAAAATCAAACCCTTCCTCCTTTCATAGTTTTTAAACATAGGTTTTTTAAAGTATTAAAATATAAATCTTTTAGTTAATTTGACATTATAACATAACGTAATAATTATTTTTTAAATTTGTGAAATTCAATACTTTTGATAACTAAAAAAAAAAAATCAAGTTTCAGGAGATAGTTAGAGAACAAAAGATTCAAACGAGAGATTAAAACCGCGCACGTACTCGCTATTTTTAACCCCTTACTCCTTGTAGGCACTCGTACTCTGAGATATATTATACTGTTCACAAGCAGCGTAGCATGTTGAGCTGACGTGAGGCTACGTTGGCCCAACAGTTACAATGTTGTGTTGACGTAGGCCCAATATAGCATTTTGCTCAGATTGTCATTAAATTTGTCAGTTTATATGTAGCTTGATCTTTTTTTAGTTCACTCATTTTATTTCTCAAACATTACGTAATTACTTAAAGACACAATTTTAAAATTAAATAACTATTATTTTCTAAATTTAGCATATGTACCAAGACCTAATACTACTGACGAGTCGGGTGAAATGTTTTTTGATGTATCTTCGAACTATGTCGTAGAAAAAGTACTTGCTACTGCTCTTCAAGTATACCTTGATATTACCTATAAAACTGTGATCGCAGAAAAGTTAATAATTTCTGTTTATAAGATAGTTGTCCCTAAGAAAAAGTACGTACTGCTGGCCTCAAAACTAATTAACGCATCAGTTTCTCAATGGCATGAGTTTAATGTTTTAGAAGCTTCATTAAGCTGGATTGAGTTTTCAGAAACTAATAATGGAATATTATTAGTATGTCAAAATCTACAAAAGGTAAATATACCTATTGAAAGTTGCGGAATCGTTGATTTTAAAGGTCGAGAGGAATTCAGACCATTTTTAGTATCTTTTTACCAATCTGGTAAGGAGGAAGAGTTTCCCGCAAAACAAATTCGAAATACCGAATCAACTTTAAAACTTCAAGAACGTTTAAGACGTAGTATGCAAGATAGTATTTTTATAGAAGCTGCAGAACAGTTGAGTTTCGTTCGAAATAAAACGCGTTCAAATGGCTCGGAAAATAATCTTGGATCTCGTTGTGATAAACATCCATTATATATTGGATTTAAAGATTTAGGATGGTCGGATTGGATTATAGCACCTGATGGCTATCGTGCAAATTACTGTGGAGGAGATTGCAGTTTTCCACTTGATAATAACGCAAACGCAACAAATCATGCAATTATACAAACACTTGTTCATATGATGTATCCAGAGATCATTCCAAAGCCCTGTTGTGCGCCTAATAAGCTGAACACATTACAGGTTTTATTTCTTGATGAACGCAATAATGTTGTTATGAAGCGCTATTCAAACATGATAGTCCAACATTGTGGATGCCAATAGGTTGAGTAAGATAAGGTTTTCAAATACCGATAAACTGCCAAAAGCTAAGACATTAGTTATTTCTGTATTCGTAGAAAGCAGTTATTAAAACCTAATTTGAATAAAGTAATACAGCGAAGACATAATTGTGGTCTTTATTCTATAACGTGAAACAACTTTTTGAAGTCTCAGACAACATAAAGTGCGAGGTAATATTTAAAAAAGTGTAAAAAAATTCAAACGTGAGAACATAAAATGTATGGGTCAAGTAAATTTAATTGAATCATAAACATATACCAAAAAACTTCAGAAATATATTGATGCATTTATATATCATAAAAAATCTTTTACCTGTCTGCAGTTTAGTGGTACCAAAGTTTGTTGTCAGAGTGACAGTGGTAACAGATGTTTGATTGTTTTATCTTAAGCAAATACATTTGTAAATATACAGTTGAAAATATAAAATTATAAAATTTTGTTCATTATATAAAAGAAATATATATATATATATATATATATATATATATATATATATATATATATATATATATATACATATATATATATATGTATATATATATATATATATATATATATATATATATATATATATATATATATATATATATATATATATATATATATATATATATATATATATATATATATATATATATATATATATACTCCTGATGAACCTACTGATGGTGAAACAAGTTGTTGAAGAAAAAAATTAGATTAGCGTTTTTGATAATTTATATATATATATATATATATATATATATATATATATATATAAATATATATATATATATATATATATATATATATATATATATATATATATATATATATATATATATATATTTTATATATATATATATATATATATATATATATATATATATATATATATATATATATATATAAATATATATATATATATATATATATATATATATATATATATATATATATATATATAGAGAGAGAGAGAGAGAATATATATATATATATATATATATATGAGAGAATATATATATATATATATATATATATATATATATATATATATATATATATATATATATATATATATATATATATATATATATATATATATTAAGAGCGCGTTAATAAACCAGACCAGAAAAAGTTTAAAAACTTAAATTTTTTTTTTTAATGATAGACTGCCTGTCCAAACCAAACCCTCAGTCGATGTAGCAGCACTCCCTTGCAAGTCAGGCTATATATATATATATATATATATATATATATATATATATATATATATATATATATATATATATATATATATATATATATATATATATATATATATATATATATATATATATATATATATATATATATATATATATATATATATATATATATATGATGATTAATTTAAGTGGAACAATAGCTGTCTGGAAAAGACTTTGCTCGTTAACTTGGGCCTCACCAATATTTGTATCAGTACGTTTTTGTTTATAGACACTTTGACTGGAGGCACCATCAAAGCCACCTTTAAAGTGAAGTACACCTTTAAACTTCCCCCCAATTTCTGCAAACATTCTCATAGAGTCTTAGCATTCCGTAAAAGTTAATATTCTTGTCAGAGTATGATTAAACATACCCTGTAGAGGAGTTGAAGCAAATGTTTCTGTCACAATTAAACCCTCAGGATAACACTTGTGTCTCTCATTCTTAATTTCGTGAAGTGAAGGATAAATATCTGCATTATGTATTATTGATGAATTTCTAATAATTTGATACTGCTTATCAGAAAGGTCACCCTGAACTTTTAAGCTCAAGGCACCTTCGGTTTTCATTTTTATCGGAAAATTTATTTCCGTGATACTAACTTTTTCAGAGTTCGTTGCACTTTTCATGAGAACAACGAAATCTTTTTTGGTAGGATCTCTAGTGGCTTTTTTAATTGAAGCTAATGCCAATGCTTAAGCAGGATGTTCAGCCAATTTGGCAACCTTAAACAAGATAATATTTAATATTTAAGTTTGTAAACTATTTTTTCAAACTGGGTTGAACTTAATTTATTTATTATTACTTTAGATCTTCTGCTTCTATCACCTAAATCAGTTCCCAGTTCTCTTTCTGCCTGGACCTGCATTAAAGTTTTATTTACAGTTACATCTTTGTTTAATCAAGTTTGCTCGTGTTCCAAAAGTCTAGAGAAGGTTCTTGAATATTTCTGCAATTTTGATCAGAATTTATATTTAAATATTATTAGAGTTTTCTTTAGATTTAACATTTTAGGTTTGTCAATACTTTCATAGTACAGATCCTCCAGTCTACAAAACTCACGTATAAGAGCTTCGAGTAAATTATCATGATTAATTCCTAACTCTTGAATTATAGGGACTAAATGTATTCTTTTCATGTTTAATGTAAGCAATGAACTATTGTTAGTTATTTTACATGCAAATTTGAATTTTAAAATATGCACTATAACACTAAATATTGCATATTTTGGTTTTGAGGTTCGATAATTAGCACCATCTGCTTGAGCATGAGCTTTTATAGTAATAGGAACTAAATGTATTATTTGTGTGATGAATGCAAGCAATGAACTAATGTTCGCTACTTTATGCGCAAGTTATAATAAAAAACGGGAAAAAAAAAAAAAAAAAAAAACGAAGTATTTAAAAGGTCTTATTTTAATTGAGACAAGTTGGGGCAAATGATTTTATATTTTTTCTGGTTTCATATATACCTATTGATTTTTGAACGAGTTTTCCGATAAATAAAATAATAATAAAAAAAATAAGTCTCGGAAAAAGACGTAAAAAAAATTATTTATTGTCTTTTAGTGGTATTTAGTGACATTATAAACTAATTATTTATTTCCTAGCAAAAGTTTTTTATGGGGTTTTTTTTGCCGTTTTTTATGGATTTTGACTCACTGTGCCTCGACCGGCCGGAAATCGCCTCAATATACGTTACTGCCATAAGACCGTGAAGCATGGTGGAGGCAATGTAATGGTCTGGGGGTATTTTTCTGCTAACGGTCTAGGTCCAATACATCGAATCGATGGAATAATGGACCGTTTCATGCATAAAAATATCCTGAAAGATGTTATGTTACCTCATGCTGAATGGAATATGCCAATAAAATGGGTTTTTCAGCAAGACAATGATCCGAAATACACTGCAAAAGTAGTCAAGCAGTGGTTTCAAGACAACCACCTATCGGCGATGGATTGGTCGCTTCAAACTCCAGATCTCAACCCTATCGAGAACCTGTGGAAGATCGTCCCAGAATTAATTGTGAAGGTGTTCGTAATAAGGATCAACTGTTTGAACAAATCCAAAAGGCCTGGGCAACGATTCCACAGAGTTTCATTGATCACCTGATTGAATCTATGCCTCGAAGATGCAAGGCTGTGATCGACAACAAAGGGTTCCCCACGAAATATTATTAGCAAAATACAGCTTGGTCAACATTTTGTCGAGTTCTACTTGTTTTGTCCAGAAAGAAATCAACTTTTTTTAATACTTTGGATTAATTTATTAATTTTCGTGTACAAATAATGAACTTTGTGATGAATAAAACTTAAAGAATGTTGTCTCTAAACGGTTACATAGTTATTTCTTTAAATTGAAAAAATGCAGCACTTTTATATAAAGAAACTAAACTAGCATTTTTTGCCCGATACTGTATATATATATATATATATATATATATATATATATATATATATATATATATATATATATATATATATATATATATATATATATATATATATATATATATATATATATATATATATATATGTATATATATATATATATATATTTAACAAGTTTAATAGTATCACCTTTGTTTAAGAAAGCGGGATTTGTTGCACAGCTACGGCTACTTGTTTAGGTCTCATTACATAAAATGAATATAAAGCAATACTTATCAATTTGCTCATAATTTAACTTATACAAAATTAAAATTTTGTTCAATTTTTATAGGTGAAAAATTACTTAAACAACTAAGAATGATTCAGAAAGTGATGGCTCATGTGGAATAATGGAGATTTAATGTACTACTTATGGAGATTTGATAGTACTACTTTTTTATTCAATATTAATTCAGTATTTAAAAAATTAATATTTGAATAAAATGTCAGATAATGGTTCTTTGGCCACTAATTCTAAGGCAACATAAACTGTTTAATATTGACCATAAAAAAAATGCTCTTCTTTTCTAGCTTTTTATCGTTCTCTAGTTTTTCCATATAATTTATCTTTGCTGACTTGGAAAATAAAGTGAAAAGAAATTTCCTGGTCTAAACTTAACAGCAAACATTGTATATCTCTTGCTCTGGGTTTGATTCAAAAAAACTATGGATCTATGTTGCTATGGAAATCTATGATTTTTTTGCTCGAGTTGTGAAATCAAACACAACAGGGAAAAAAAGGGTATTTGAAAATGCTGAAACTTTCGCTGATATAACGGGAGTGTCAGTAGCTGTAATTATTAGATTGAGGACAATCCTAATATCAGTATGCTCCTGTTATGAGTTAAACTCAGAAAGTTTTCGCCAGTATTGCTATGAAACTACAGCTCTTATACTCAAAAACTATTGCTGGTATATGATTCTCTCAACTGTTCATAAACTCTTGGAACATGGTGTGCAGATATCTGAGGCATTAGAACTGCCAATTGGTTACTACTCTGAAGAGTCACAAGGAGGCTCTAAATAAAGAAATTCGCAAAGCTAGATTAAACCATACAGCCAAGATATCAAGAAAGAATGTTATAAAAAACCAGTACCAATACCTCTTGATTAGAAGTGATCCTGTAATATCAAACATTTGTTTCAAAATATACAAGGTTGAAAATGGAAAAACACTTACCCTGGAAATTTTATCTTTGTTAATGCTGTAATAATGAAATAAAGCTTTTTTATAACTTTAGATTTTCTTTTTTTGTTTTCTTGAAAGAAAAATTAGAGGAGATAAATATTTATTTTGTATTTAATATACTTTAATATTAAATAAAGTATATGTTTTGGTTTGAAGACTTTAATTTTTTTAAATTAAGTGTTTGTGCGAGTAAAAGACTATAACACGTATACGCGTGTATACGTGTTAGAGTCTTATACGCGTGTACGATCCTTAGGCACAAGAAAAATTTACATTAAAAAATATGTGGTATTTTTTATATGGTATTTTGGATCAAGGAATGCGATTTATTTATTTAAATCATATTTTGCGCGCGTAAATGACACTTACACGCGTAAGCTTGCGTTGTACGCGTCATAGGCACGCGTAAAAAATATTTCCAATAACAAATTTAAATTTTTTGACCCAAAATACGATAGTATTGATATTTCACACGTTTATATATGATAGTTATATAATTTTTTTCGTTTTTTCACCTTTCTGACTCACTGTGCGACGTACACGGCAATTGCCATCGCTCTCAATGATGTTGAACTTCGATTCATCGCTG